TGAGTGGAGTTAAATCCAGCTGGTGTGTGGTTACATGTGGTGTTCCCCAGGGCTCAGTAATGGGGGCATCTTTATCAGTGATCTGGATGAGGGGATTGAGGGCACCCTCAGTCAGGTAGCAGATGAAACTAAGTTCGTTGGGAGTGTTGATATTGAGGTGCTGGAGTATGTCCAGAGAAGGGCAATAAAGCTGGTGGAGCTGGGGTTGCGTAGCCTGGAGAAAAATAGGCTTAGGGCAGACCTTATCACTCTCTACAACTACTTGAAAGAAAGCTGTAGTGAGGTGGGGGTTGGTCTCCTCTCCCAAGTAGTAAGCAATGGGACCAGAGGAAATGGCCTCACATTGCTCCAGGGGAGGTTTAGATTGGATATTGCAAAAAAATTTCTTCACCAAAAGTGTTATCAAGCATTGCAACAGGCTGCCCAGGGAAGTGGTTGAGTCACCATCCCTGGAGGGATTTAAAAGACATGTAGAAGTGGCACTCAGGGACATGGGTTAGTGGTGGTATTGGCAGTGTGTGGTTTGTGTTTGGACTCCATGCTCTTAAAGGGGTTTTCCAGCCTTAATGATCCTATGATTCTATCCTGTGGTTCTAAGAAGAAAGGTATGACTGAAGGACCAGGAAGCCTGTGACTTCAGGTAACAGGAATACAGCTCTGTTTCCTCTTCCAACTGTGCCTAGCTAACAGTTTCATCAACAGTAGAGAGTGTTTGGGGATAAGTATCTCAAGTCTTTGGATTAGTACCAGTACTAAAGGAAGCATTGGTGTTAGTGGCTGATGATGCTCCCCATGTGAAACAAGAATCCATCCCAATTATCCATGTGAGTCTCTTGCTTGTCCAGAACCCAGGTCATTGATGTTGCAGACAAATTACCAACACCCACACAGCCTTCTGAATTCTACCTCTTGCTGCTATCCCTTGTGGGACAGAAGTAATACAGCCAAGGGAAACCTTGAGCAGATCAAATGGAACAGAATGCTCAGAGTAAACATGAGAAGCAGAAATCCCAGTGGCACTCTCTTGAACCCTTGTAGTCAATGGAGAGGCCTGGCTGGCAGATGTAATCAGCAGACTGATGCCTGTCTGCGCAGCTGCTGTCAAGAGTAAGACTTCGGTTTCTTTGATTACAATGCCTCATTCAATGAAGATGGACTGCTATGAACACATGGAAGTCAAAAAAACAAACTCTGCAAAGAGACTTGTTATCCTAGTGAGGATGGATTTAAACTAAATCAATGAGGACAGGGCCTTGGCCCAGAAGTAAAGAAAGATAGGAGAAAGTTTGTGTAAGGAAAGGCCACAAGGGAAAGTTACACATTTCCACTTGGAGGGAGGGCACACACAGGCTAACGTGGGTGTCTGTGTACTAACACACAGAGCTTGTCCAGAAAACAAGAACTGGAAGTCTACGCACAGTCAGAGTGTTCTGATGCCATCAGGATCACAAAGATTAAATGGGATAACATCCCTGACTGGAACAGTGTCATGAAGGATGTTCAAGAAGAACAAGCAATGGAGAAGAATAGCAGCTGCGTTTTCGTATAAAGAATCTCCTTGCCTATGCAGAGGTCCAGTGTGAAACCAGAGATGTGTCTGACAGGAGACTTCTGGTCAAAAGCAAAAGCAACATGGGCCATGGAGCAGTGTGGGCCTGTTACACACCACCTGCTCAAGGGGACAAAGTGGATAGTGCTGTACACAAACTACCAAAAACAACCCGATCACCAGACTTGGTCCTCACCATGGCATTGCGAAAGCAATCCAAGATATTTTCAGACTGCATTGATAATAACTTTTAAATGCTAGAGAGACCAAACAAAGGAAATACTCTCTGTGACCTCTGTACACAAACATGGAAGAACGAGCGGTAAATGTGGTCACAGATAGTAGGTTGGGAGAAGTGACCACAAGCAGATTGTATTCACAATCCAGAAGGAGACTGGAAGCTAAGCACAAGAAATAGGACTAAGGATTTTATATAAGTGGACTTGGGGTTACACAGGAGATAGCTCAGCAAAATCTCCTGGGACAATGAAGCAAAAGGTGTCAGTCTAGCTAGTAAATTTTTGTTGACAGCTCAGGAACTAATAATAATCCTATTGTACAAGAAGACTGGCATTTCAGTAGAAGACTCACTGACTAAGCAAGGAGGTTCTTAATGAACTGTAATACAAAAAGACAGCATATAGAAAACAAAAAAAGGAGTACAAAAGCACTACTTTGGCACTTAGAAACAAGACTGGGAAAACTAAAGTGCATTTAGAATTAAAACAAGTGGGGATATAAATAGCAGCAAGACAGAATTGTTCAGAGGAAATTTGGGGATGTTACTGAATGGGGAAGACAACCTAGTGGTTGTGCAGATGGAAAAGTCTGAAGTATTGAATACATTTTTGCCTCAATCTTCACAGGCAAAGATTACTCCTAGATTTCCAGGTGTACCAGTATGGTTTGAGAAGGAACAGGTTAACAACAACAAGTTAAGAATGAGTTAGAGCAGCTGATGTATTCAAGTCTATGAGGACAGAGAAGATTAATCTGAAAGCACTGAAAGAGTTGGCTTATGTGACCCCAATAGATCTGTCTGCCATCTCCAAAAAAACACACATGATCATTGAGGCAGACCCCTGAAAACTGGATAAAGGCTAGTATTGTGTCTGCCTTTAGAAAAGGCATGACTACAGGCTGCTCAGCCTCACCCCAACCCCTGTAAGGATTTCATACCACATCTGTGTAGAATCCACCTCCAAACATGCAGAGAACAAAAAGCTAATCAGCCACAATCAGCATGGACTCACAAAGGGCAGTTAATGCTTGATCAAACTGATTGTCTTACGGGATAAACTGACCTGAAATGCAGATGTGGGGAGAGTGGTGGATGTAATCAAATGGTCTGGTGGGTAGACTGAAAATTACCAATACAGACAGACTCAGAGGGTAACACTCACAGTAAACACCAGATTGCTCTCCAGTTGGCAGTAGACTCAGTAGAGCTCAGTATGCTCAATATCCTCACCAAAGACCTGGATGATGAAACCTAATGCACTCTCAGTAATATTCTAGACATAACTAACCCAGTGGCATTTGACACATTAAGCAGTAGAGCTTTAATCAAGAAGGACCGTGAGAAAGTTCAGAACTGGAAATGTCAAGTTCAAGAACAAGAATTCTACAGCTTTTCTAGGGGCAGGATAACCGTGTGCATCAGTGCATGCTATGAACTGATTGTAGTAGTTCCTTGTAGCAGGCCTGCTGAAAAGGACAGAGAGGTTTTGGTAGAAATTTCAGGCAACGTTTTCACTGCTAAAGAGCAAATTGGATAGTGGCTACACTACAAGCAGCGTGGCCAGCAGGACAATGAAGTTACTCTTCCCCTATATAAAGCATTGATTAGGCAATAGCTGAAATACTGTATCCCATACTGAACTTCCAGTTCAAGAGGTACCTGAAGAAACCAGAATCTGGGGAGGGGCCATGGGCTCATGACTGACAGAAGTTGAACCAGCTGGGTTTTTTTAGACGCATAAACAGGAGGCTAAGAGAGGCAAAAACTACTTGGAAGAAGAGTTACAAAAATGGTGGAGCCAAGCTTTCCTCAACTAATGAAAGTACATGTAAAATCATGACTTTTTACCTGGCAGTGCTGTCAACTCTTTTCTTAAAAATAAGACATGCTTTGTTGCCTCTTATCCAGTATCTCCTGTAATACCAGCCAAACAACTTAGTTGACCATATATATATTCCCACTGGACCACACTGTTAATGGGGATGTAAAAGGCATTTTTACGTTCACCAATTCAGGAATCTCAAAGACTGACCTTAAAACTTTCAGATTCTGATCTATTAAAATAAGTAAAAACCCCTACATTGTACGGTATCCAACTATCCAGGGAAACATTTCATCGCATTTGGCGTGCTTGAGATCAGAGCAGGTACTTAAGTTGAAATTTCATCAAATTTTTAAGAAGGGGACCCAGCAGATACTCATCCAGAGGTGTAATTCACCTCCTCCCATCAATATTACAAGCAAGACTTGTTATTTAGAACTAGTTATCAAGTTTTTCTTGGGCATTAAGGGAGAAAACTGGGTGCAAGACAAGGATCTAGCTGAAGATTCCTCCCTTCTTTGGTCCAAGTGGGTGTAGCTCTACTAACTTCAAACTGGATTTTATCTGCTAGTACCTAATTATTGAGTGGTCTATGTGGTTTTATATTATATGGATTTGAAGTGAGCTTTCAGATTAAGAATTTTTCAATTATGTAACAATGCCCAGAGCAGGAGCTGTTATTTATTTTTTAAATCATCAAATATATGAGTAAGAACACAGAGATAAATTACGAGATACTCTGAAGACTTTCCAAGTATTAAAATTATGGAGGCAAAAGGTAGTTTTAGATAGAACAATGTTCCAAAATAGGTTTGAAACAGAATATAAATGTGATTTATCTAAAGCTACATAGCCAGTCAATATTAGGGACTTACCAAGACAGTGATTGTATTTAAATCTTTGCATCTAACAGCTGTCTAGGATTTTTTTCTTCCATTAATTTGTCTAGTTGCTGTTTGAACCAATTAGTGCTTCTGGAGTCCATAACATCCATTCCACATTCCATAATTCCACAATGTAACTATTCACTGTGTAAAAAGTTACTTCCTTTAGTTGCTTTAAAACCTGTTGCTGCACAATTTCATTAAATGGCTCTTTATGTGACACACTGTGAACAAACACTTCTGTTCCATCCATGTCTACACACTGCTGTAATAGTCACCCCTTATCTGAATCAACTGACAGTTTCTCCTTGAGCAAAAGTAAAGCTACACCTGTGGTCCTCTATAGGTGCTTTTTGCTTTAGGTGGATTTTCTCCTTACCATAAAACACTCTCTTTTTATTAAAAATTTAACAGGCAAATAAGTGCTAAAAAGAACCAGTTTAAAGAGTGAATAATATAAGAAGTTTTGTGGGGTTTGGAAATGGCCAAGCGTAAACCCACACTGAGCTGTAATAACCATTACAACTACAGTGAGCTGTGCTGGGTGTATAAACCTGATTGATGGGATTTGTCTGACATTTGTTTATAAGCCTGACTGATGAAGGTGGCCAGGCATCTTCAAACCTAACTGGTAGATTAAGGAGGATGACTTGCTAAACTCAGGTCTAATTAGCTCATAAAGAGTTAGTGGAGACACATCGTGTCATAACTGATGGGGCAGCTCTGTGCGGATCCAACTGATGGGCCAGATTCTCCTGAGACACTGTTCAACAGGATTTCCACTGTTCTGTCAGATACAACAAGAGATACGATACACAGCTGTCAGTGAGAGAAAATGCAACACCGCTAAGTCTTCTCCAAGAACATGTAACCAACTAACAACAGCCAACGCTGGGTTTGGCCAAAAGAAGACAAAAAATGGATTCGGAAGCCTAAGCAGGATGTAAGAGGGGAAACAAGGGGAAAGGCAGAGGAGCAGCCCACCAAACTGAACATAAGCAAAAGCAACATGACTCCACAGAGCAGAGGTGGTGATTAGGGCTGTGGAATTAAAGGGATAGCAGTGGGGAAAGGTGGGGTTGTTTTGTGAGGATTAAGGGCATACAGTGGGATTGTTAATAGCTACTTCAGAAACACCCTGAGTTTCAAGAGACTATTCTGCTGAACTGGACCAAACTGCCTCCAGTGCAGCCCAGCTTTTACCTGTATCCCTTCATCACCTCCAACTAAGCATAAAAATATCCATGGAGAAACATTCCATCTACAGCCCACACTTTGTATTACAACAATTATCACACCCCACAAAACCACACCCTGTAAGTTTTCCCTACCAGACTTGCCATCTTCCCAGCAATTCTTGTAAACTCTCCATTGCATCCAAGCCCACCTCCTCCCCACACAACAGACTGCTGGGGGAAAAATAGCATCATAACGTCTTTGAACAGTGGATGAGTATCTATTTGAATAAACACAGTGAATCGTTCACACAGAAGCACTGGCAATGCAATGAGGCCCCAACATTTGAAGAGTTCCAGAAGAGTCAGAGTAGCAACATCATTGAGCTTTAAAATTCTACAAACACAGAGAAATTAATCAGCATGGTATGTGTGAGTACATGTTAATGCGGGAACTTCACATTTTATAAGGAAGTTTTGAATGCATCTGATGTACACATTTTCTTAAGTTTTTTATAGTATTTTTCATTCACCGTCTGTGTTAACACACAAGTCTAAGGATAAAAGAAATACTTCAGCTGGTTAAATCAGCTTGCTCAGGCTATGCACTTAGCTCAGTTAAATGAGAGCCCAGAAATTACTTCAACTTGCCAATCCTTATTATCAAGCACAGTGTTTGTAACTCACAGTAGGTTATCAACAATGGGGCCATATTTGGGAGATACTATGACATCTGGTATTGATTTCTGGCAGGATTGAGGTATTTTTTGAAACCTCTTCCTCAAATTGGAAAGATAATAAAATGCATACATACTACTGGACAGATTTTTTTTAAATTTTAACAGGCATTAGAATAGGCATAGTTACATACAGCAGCACAGACACAAAGAAGTCATGCTGCTGCTTTTAAATCAAAGCACTGCCTCCCATCAACAGGAGCAAAGTAAAAAGGCAAGAAAGAAAAACAACTCAACACTTGCAACACAGGTTGAATGCATGTGTTAAAAATCATGAGACACTCATTATTTAATGAAAAAAATGTCTAAAAGTTGCTTTTAACTTCCAACATCGAAAAGTAAAGCAAAGAAATGCTCCACAAACACTCAGTTCTTTTCATGTTAACAAAGGCCTTAAATACACAGTTCTGTAAAAGTGAAGACATTCAGAAGAAACCATACTAAGAAGTCATAAGAATTTGGTACATTCTGAACTACATGCAACATGTTGCATGCACAGTCCTGCTTACACCCGGTACAGAACAGCTGAACAAGAAAAAGTCCCAAATAAAATAATTTATGAGGAAGCTAGGAATGAAAGCAAGAACCTCTACTAACTCCTTCTTAACTGAAATTCTTTAACAAGAACAAATTCATGGCAGTAGCAGCTACAAAAAAAGCATGATCTAGTTAATGCTGCAAGCAACATTTTATGTGTAATTCATTAGAAAGCTGCTAAGAATTTTGCAGAGGGAAAATCTATGTCACTGAGTATTTTTATTGATAAGATCAGTTTAAAAACATACTAGGCAAAAAAGTAAATATTTTTAAATGAGTGGCCTAATATTTAAAATTTTATAGAAGGAATATTAAAATATCCAACATACACATATAATTTCTGGAAACAATTACAGTAATTAAAACAACACTCAACATTTGGAGGGAGACATTTTATGGAAGGTATTCCAGAAACTGCCTCCCCAAAGACACTGATCAATTTGGGTGTGTTCAATTAACAGGAGAAATTAATTTCAAGTGAAAACCCCTGCTGCTGAGAATCATCCAGCATTTAGCACTCACTCTCCACCCCCTGGCTCCAGAATTTAAATTCTTGAACTGTCAGTAGGATCTTTCTAGATGAGATGGTTAATTGGAAAGACTATTTTCACTACTGAGCAACTGAAACTACAACTCCAGTGTTTCCAATAACAAATTTCATCAAACAAGAAATAATTCATTATTTGAGATTAAGATGGCTTTTTCATCTGTCTATTTTACCTCAACACCTACCAGTTTCATTACAGTTCATAATTTTATCTTCTTTCTCTAGGCTAAGCTAAACCAGACAGAGTTAACTCACATTGACTCTGAAATGCAGACATTGCCTAGAAAAGTAGGTATCCAAATCACAGAGACTTTCAGTTGCTCTCTGTTGTGACCTTCTGGAATTTCTGAAACAGTTCAGACTGTCAACTGCAATTCTTAAATCCTTAAAATAAAATCATTAAAAAGCTGAATTCAGGTTTTTTTCAGTTTGAAATCTCCAAGTGGAAAAAAAATAAATCTCTTTACAGACAGGTACAGGATGCTGTCCACGTGACTGAGATCGTGGTTGGACTAGACAGTAAATTCAGTTTCAGTGTGTCTCGTATGAGATGAAAACCACCACAGCTGCATGATGCACTGATTAAGTGCAGCCCACTCTGCCAATTCTAATTTTGCACAGAGTTATGCTCCATCAGGTAGTGTGTGTCCTTCTGCAGCCAGCAAACAGCCAGAATAAACACAGTCTCATGTGATCTGGCTTATTTGCTGAGAATGTGCAACCAGGTCATTTGGTACTGCACAAAAGTGATATTAATGAACACAGGACCATAGCCCAAGGCATGGAGGGAAACAATTTGTCAAGGTGAACCACACAAGCTGAAGGTAAACCTGAACATAGTATCCAGTCCTCATTAATTGCAGCCTAGTTTGCTACCTACTGGGCAGCACTGCTGCCCTACTCCTACAAACACAAGCCAAGGGCCATTTCAGCAACTACTCTGTTGACACTGCAAATATTTAGGAAAATGTTTAGCTTGACCAATGTAAGTGACCCCAGTGAAGTCAAACAAACCTATGTTTGTATGCAAGAGTTTCCAGGGTTTAGTCTCCAAAAAGCAAGATACGTTTTTATACTTGCTAGGAGACATCCGAGAAACACTACTGAGGATGTGCTATATAACGAACATAAAATAAAACACTGCTCCTACTTCTTTATATGCTGCTCACTAAAAAATATTTTAATTGCAGCTCATCAAATGTAGACTCTAACATATTATTGTAGCAAACTATACAAATAGATCACCAATTCTGGGAAAATAAAAAAGCGGCTTCCATCAAATGCTTAGTCTGACACATACAGAGAAAGACACAAAAAAGTAAATATTATAAAGTAAATATTAGAAATGTGTTGAAATGCATCCTTGTCCCAGTTCCTGCAGGAAGCAGAGTACATGCCCACAACAGTGAAATATATTTTGAATTACTGTTTGGAGATGGCAGTAGGACAGAGCGAGCAATACATTATTGATTAGAAATTATATCAAAGAAATTGTACTGAAGAAACTTTAAAATGTTAAAGAATTCCATAGCTAGTAAATGCCAGAATTAAGTTTGCCTGTAAAAGTTTTAGTAAGCCCTATGGCATTATATACATATGTAGAGGCATAACTATAGAGTCATATAATATTTTTCTCTACTATTCTGCCTGAGTTATTATAAGGGTTTGACCCAGTGTCCACTTTTGGCTTATTCTGTAAGATGAATTATCAGTCTGAAGTAGCTTCATTAGTAGATAGCAAGTAAACAAGCAGTAAAGAGTAATTCCAATTAGCATTCAAGGTATCAAAATAACACTGAGACACCCATTATTAACAAAAACTGTAAAGATGAAGCAAATTCTCCAGAAATCTTTTTATTATTTGATGGGAGAGAAGACACTGGCACAGGTACAACATCTTTCACCAAGGGATTGACTTGTTACCTTTGATGGTGCTCTTCAGCACACTCTTAAGTGAATTTCAAGATAGAATCACCTGCTTTACAATCATAGAGTCAAAATAAATGCAGTCAAAGACTACAAGAGCTCTTCTATTCTCCCTATCAGCCCAAGAAAAGATATATCCGTTCCACTAAACCCATATTCTTGGTAGCAGACTTTACAAAGATCTTCATGAGCCATTTCTATGTAGCAGAGGATTTTTATTGATAAAAAGAAGCTCTCAAAATTTTCACGGTCAGCAGACAAGATTTCAGAATCAGGAAACACTGATGCACTGCACCTGTCAGAGGAAATGCTCTGAGCTCAGCTGGAACAGTAAAGGTCACAGTTGCAGACATGGATGTCATCAGTGGATTTTGCCCTAAAACATGCTGTTGTGACAGTGTAGCAAGCACAAAAAGACAAGCAAAGTGCTTATCAAGAAAACATCAGCACCAAACAAGGCTGTTTGTTCCATGAAACTAGAAAGTTTCATGTTAAAAACTGTTACACTGAGAACACTGTAATGGGTATCACAGTGCCAGTCACTGGCAGAGAGTCCTGAATCAGCAAAAACACATGAATCCCTTGGGATTCATAGTCTTCCTGGTACTTAGCCCTACAGAAAACTAAGGGACAATCTGATTTTGAAGCCTAGTCCTGTTTCTAGCAGGCAGTGGCGATCACTGATGACACTGCTGGCACCTGCCACACACCCTGGACTTGGTCATCACATTAGTTCTGCTGCCAGAGCTGTGCCACCAAGGATGGATGCTGGCTGGAAACACATCCTCTCCTTGACCTTGCTATTCCTTCAAAACCCACACTGCAGGTGGAGCTACCACTACAGAAAGTGTTTCAATGGTTTAGTTTGCTTTCTAAAAAGCAAATGGATACATTGGCAGAATCTCCTCCAACAGCACTCCCAGCCTACACAGCTATGCTGGCAGAGACGAGTAACAAAGATTTTATCTTTAAGTCTCTTTCATTTTTATGAGATCAAGAAAGACCATCCAAGTAACTACACCATGATACTATGAGTTTTAAGTGAAAAAACTAGAATTCTGCTAAATAGTTTGCAAGTCAAGCATAGACCACGGACTGGATTGTACAGCAGGTTTTTTTACTTTTCTGCAATTGCTCCTGAGATCACTCATAGGCTGCACACTTGGAATGAATATGACCTGTATCACTGAAGGGAATTATTCCTCTGCAGGATTAAAACCTACACACTTGGCCACAAAGATAACAGACCCCAATACTAAGTAATCTGCTCTAAATTACTGACACAGTAAACAAACACCTCCTCCTATTCCATGTCCAATGAACCTACTGGTTTGAAGAGAACTATTATCAAAAATACAAAACAAATCTAAGAGTAGTTCCTGTATATCCTGTAGAGACAAAACCACCCTTGTAAAAGGAATACGGTGCACTCCTCATCTTTGCCAAAGGAAGACTGAACATTTGACAAGGTATGAAGTCACACAGGCATGAATGACCAACACATCCAGACTTCAAACCCTCTCAAGACATACACTTACATCATTTGTATGTATTTTTACAGATAAAACCTAAAAAAGAACATGTTTAATTTCATTTCCTGTATTCAAACTTTAATTAACTTAGATTTAAATTGCAGTTATAATTGCTCAAATCAGTTTCCATGCAGGACAGTCAGAAAACCAAGATGTTGGCAGCCACTGAGATGGTGGTAGAAATTACTCACCTAGAACAACGTCGGAAGGCTGTAGCAGAAATAGGGATAAAACCCAAGCACTGATGAAACTTCTAATATCTTCATCTTTTCTTCAGCTCAGCACCATCTCATTTCTAGCACTCTTTCAACCAGTCTCTTCCCCTTCTGTCTACATGACCTCATGACTTCCCAAGCCCATGTCTTTTACTTTTTTGTCTGCCTCTTCCCACTCTCGGTGCTCCCTTAACATGGCTCTTAATTTTTTCCTGAAACATGTCTCCTATGTGTTTCTTCCACCTCACTCGGGTTTGGATTTTATCCTCCCTTGCAGTGTTCAGGCTTAGCAAAAGGCAGACACAATTCCAAGTAAGCCGAAGTGATGTTTGGCAAAGCAGTAACTTACAAAAGGAAGCATTACGTAAACTTTACCAGAGATGCCTCTATTACATTCAACACTTTGCTCTCACCTGCAAAAATACAAAATAGCCCAGGTTCTCTTTCCCTGAAGGAGAAGAGGGGTGGGAATAATGCAACATTAGAAAGTTATTTTCATCTCTCTTGTTCTCCAGATTGATCTACAATACATTGTAATTAATTTTATCTAGAGAAGATAAAAGATGAAGTCCCCAAATGAAGCCTCCGGACTTCAGAAAATTTAACCCAGTTTTTACAGTCCCAAAGAAGCCAAATGCTTGAAAAGCCAAGTGAGTGATCAGAGTCCACCACCAACACCCCTGCTAATCCAGACAGCAGAGTGGGACTAAGAGAACAGGTACAACTGTTGAAATTAAATACCAGGAGAAGTTAAAAATTCACTGAAGTACAGGAAAAATAAAAGAACTTATGAAAAATGAGGGAACAGCCAAACTGCAGGAACCAAGAGCCATGACTCAAGAAGCAAGAACAGAGGACACAATACATCAAACTACAGAGCCAAGAACAACTTCCTCACATAAACCCTTCCTCACAGAGCATGCATGGTAAAACTAGTATGCACTGTATCTTTACGTGGAGATGAGAGAACGCAAAGCCAAAGACTACAGATTTAGGTTGTTACACGTATGGGAAACGCCATTTTTTTACTGCTCGAAGTGTATAAAAATGAGCACCTGGCCCACTCAAGGTGGGCTACCTTCATGAATTCAGCAGCCAGCACTTATCTCTCCACAAATACAAAATAAAATCAAGTATCTCAACTCTGTGTGTGCATAATGTTCCTGCACACTGGGTGAAAGAATCCATATTTGGGACAACACAACATTCTGGCCACTTGAGAGCTCTTTACAGCAGGGAACACTTGCATTGCCTGTCAGCCTGGGTCCCAATCATTTCTGTCCACCTCAGGACTATAAAGTTTGCAAGAGACACCGCAGCTCCATCAGTCTTTTGTTGTTACACTAAAAGCAAGAGTGCTGTCCGCACTTTGCGTGGTAAGGACCTGAATATTGGTTAATTTATTTTAAAAATACCCATTAAAAATGAAAAAAGAAGCAGCAGTAGAAGTCCAGTCATTACACAGGTACAAGAAAATCCAGTGGCACAGGGAGTTTCCACAGAAAAAGGATTTCCCACAGCCTATTGTTGGAAACACTGTGACTCAAGTGCTCATTTCTTGCTCAACAGGCTGCTGATTCAACCAGAAGAGGATGCTGGTATGTCTCACCTTCTGCATTCCACCTACTGCAGCCCAAATCAACAAAAAAACTGACTTTGAGAAAACATGTGACTATACCTCATGCTAGTTTCT